GGCTTTGAGCGGTGGGAAGACGAACGCGCCATTGGAATGTGTCGCGGCCTTCGGCGGCGAACAAAAGCGCGGCCCTTCCTGGGGATGCGCAGGTTCGCCCCGGCACGTGCTCCTGGTCGCCGTGCGGTCTCGGAAAGCTCAGCAGGCGTCGAGCCCCTGTCCATCGCCGCCACCACCGCCGCCACCACACCGCGGGTTGGCATGGGCGGCGCGCCGGTGGCTGTGTCCCACCCCCCCCCGCCGAGGCCTCGTGGCGTTCAACGCGATGTCGCGGTTTTCGCCGTGCGAGCACCGCTCGTCGGGAGCGCATCTCGCGCGTTAAACGAGGACACACGCCGCGCGTGCGCCTCGTGCTGCTGCTGTGCCTCTGTGCTGCCTCGTGCCCCCCCCCCACCACCCTGCCGAGACGTGCTGAGCAGCATGGCTGAGTGCGGTCGAATGACCCCCCCCCCCTCCTCCACGCCCCCCCCCCACGCCCCCCCGCCCCCGCCGTCCACCCCCCGTGAACCCACGCGGCATGATTGAGGCCCTCTCATCATCCAACGTTGGGATTGACAAACGGGATGTACACATGGAGCTATCCCTCTAGGTCGACTCGGCCTCAAATGAGTACCTGGTTGCGGTGTGTAAGCTAAACATCGCCACGAGGGAGACAAAGGCGGCCGGGCGTGGTGCTAGCCACCTCGTGTGCCGCGCCGGCCTTCATAGGGTCCTGCTGCTCGCTCGCACCACTTGTCCCGACAGTCTGTTGGAGGCTATACGGAGGGATCTGTGTATCCCTTGAACATCCATCTCGCCACCATTCCATTTCCGTGGGAGTTTTATTACGCTGATGTATTATTATTGTATTTGGTTGCCCAGTTTTTCCGTAGCTCTGAGCTACCGAATGGATCTCATTCGGAGCCAAATGTTCCGAACAACGTTGGTTTCTGCCGCATTCTCCGGATTATACAACGCACCCCGCTGTATTTTAATCCAACAATTGCCTGGTGTGTTTTGTAATCCTTCATAGGTTGCTGCTCGCTAAAAGCACTTTCCCCCAACAGTCTGACATAGCTATACGGGGGGGATCTTTGTCCAGTGTGTTTGGCGTGTGGGGAGCGGTGGCGCAGCGGTTAGCCCAGACCTCTGCACTCCAAACCCGGCGACCCGAGTTCAATTCCTGCTTGCAGCCGACACCGTTGGCGAATATCTGAACCCGTTCTGGGCCCTCCCTAGGTTGTCTCAGCCTAAAATGAGCCCCTGGTGCGGTGAGAAAACATCGCCACTGGGGAAACAAAGGCGGCCGGTGTGGTGTTGGCCACCCACCCCCTCGTGTGCCTTGCCGGTCTTTAAAAGTGTTCGCTAACAGCACTTGCCCCAACAGCCTGTGTAGGCTATACAGGAGGCATCTGTCTTTTTGCATTTGTGTTGTACGTTGGTTGTGTTTTCTCCGTGGGTTTTGGCACAGTGTTGCAATCTGCCCGTCGTCTCAGTCGGTCAACCCTATAACACCTGGGAGGGTCTGTCCCGTAATCTCGTGCCAGCAGCGAGCCTTCCACACTTCAGGTAATGGCCTCCAAGGTGCACCTAGGCCCTGGCACAAGCGCCGTGCCGTGGTGACGACTCGGTCAATAGTGTATGGCAATTGTTGTTGGTGCGCGTGAGAAACCAGACCAGATCGGTGGAGAGATGTCAACTACCTCACTTGATATGCAGGAGGTCGTGGGTTCGATCCTGACCCTGACGCCTACTGCATATTTAGAGTTTGTATGTCTCTCCTCGGATGAGGGCCTGACCCATGGATGAGGGCCTGACCCACGGATGAGGGCCTGACCCACGGATGAGGGCCTGACCCCGGATGAGGGCCTGACCCACGGATGAGGGCCTGACCCACGGATGAGGGCCTGACCCACGGATGAGGGCCTGACCCACGGATGAGGGCCTGACCCACGGATGAGGGCCTGACCCACGGATGAGGGCCTGACCCACGGATGAGGGCCTGACCCACGGATGAGGGCCTGACCCACGGATGAGGGCCTGACCCACGGATGAGGACCTGACCCCCGGATGAGGGCCTGACCCACGGATGAGGGCCTGACCCACAGATGAGGGCCTGACCCACGGATGAGGGCCTGACCCACGGATGAGGGCCTGACCCACGGATGAGGGCCTGACCCACGGATGAGGGCCTGACCCACGGATGAGGGCCTGACCCACGGATGAGGGCCTGACCCACGGATGAGGGCCTGACCCACGGCGTGCGGTTGCCAGACGGTGGGAGAGTGGTCGTCATATTGACCATACATCCCCGCGCCGGTCAGTGCCGGTAGGTTGGAGGTCGTTGTAATGAGTGCTGGCAATGTAGCGACGTCGGGAACGGGGGGGGGGGGGGGAGGAGTCGTCTTTTGGGCAAACAAACAAATGGGTTGACCAGCAGTGGATAGAGAATGGTTTTAACAACCTCACGCGTACGGCCACTTAATATTACGTCGTGTAATCGCGCACTTATGGAACGAGGTTGCTCGGATGAGCGCGTTTTTGGCTACGTGTTACGGTGCGAAAGAGATCCAACGTACTGCGGTAGAACCTCGGGCTTGCACGCAGCCGCTGTTCAGTGAGCAGCCAGGCTCTTGCGCAATGTTTATCGTGGTTTATTACACAGTAGGTCGCCGTGGTGATTGGTGGGGCGGTGGAGGTGGGTAGATCTATGCCCAGTCCTTAAAGCGAGCAATAACATTAAACAGTCGCCTTTTGGGTTACTGATAAATATCCTGACAAATGGTGGTGCCGTAACGCCAAGGCTTAGGGCATTAATAACGAGATGCACAACTTGCGTCCCCGTCTGGAAGGAGGAGCTCGGCACGGCTCCCTGTGGTGGGTCCCCCACGTGTCATCCCAGGTCACGACAGTATTTCCTGCCCCCCCAACCCTCGCACCCACCCCCAAGCCTGCGCGTGCCATCGATGTTTCATCGAGCAGATGAAATAGTTTTAGCGACGGAAAGAAAGAAGCCAATTCAACGAAGGGACAATTCACACGGAGTAATTGGTCGGAGCGGGGTGCCAAACGAACGTCTGGCATTAATGAATCGATTCATTGTAAAACGGTAATTTATAATACGATAAATACATTCCGGGTGAGCACGGCGGTGCAGCGGTGACACGTGCCTCGCAGCAAGAAAGGCCCTGGGTTCGACTCCCGGTTGGGGTGCCCTGTGTGGCGTGTGTTTGTTCTCCCCCCTGGTCTGCATGGATTACCTCCTGTTCACCCCCCGTGCCACCCACAAGCACCGCAGCTAAACAAAAATGTTAACCGGCATTGGCCGTGATCATCACAATGCTTTAATATTGCCTGCAAGCATGATCTCAATTGGGTTTACACAGAGGCAGCAACATTGCCCCTTACTGACACAATAAAAACACTTGGCAGGAGCCTCTTGAAAAAAGGGACTTGGGTGAATGTCCCTTGGGGTGCCGCGGTGGTGAGATGTTATCTCCCTCTAGTCTGATATACAGGAGGACGTGGGTTCGATCCCGACCCTGACGCCTGCTGTATATTCGGAGTTTGCGTGTCTCTCCCCGTGGACGCGTGGATTTTTTTTCTCCGGGCCCTCCTGTTTTTCGCTCCACATTTAGAATCAACAATCACGCGTTGAGAATATTTGGCTGCCACTTGACATTTCCACGTGACGATTCACTTCGTTGAGCTATCATTTGTGATAGCAAGGTCGCTTATATAAAAAAAAAGCTACCTAGCTCAGTGGGCCTTACCTGGTTAAATAAAGCCTGGAAACCCGGTTATAAACGTAGCAGGCTGGCTAGGGCAGCTACGCCACCGCAACCGAGTATTTTACTTCTCAGCAGCTATCTTCACATCTGTCGGGGTGAATTGGAGAGCGCCGGCTCGAATGCTCGCTCCTCGCTCGCTCGCTCACTCACTCGCTGGCGTCACGCTCTCTCGTTGCCGCCTCCGTGATGAAGACGAATGTGCCTGGGCAGCTCGCTGAGAGATCCTTTAACTCGGGCCGAGAGGTCCTTGATCAGGGTCCGGATGATTTCCTGAATCCCACCGCATCCCCCGTCTCGGGATGATTTCGGTGTAAGACGGGAGTTTATTTGCGACTGTCTTGTTTGCATTGTCCGTTGTTTTTTTTACTTTGTGTGTGTTTAAGCTTGATTTGAAGCTTTCGTGACTGCAGGAATTACTCTTTGGTTCTTTCGATAAAGCCACGTGTGTTTTCTTTTGGGCTCGCTTGCACACCTGTTTGTATGTTTCAGAGATTAACGTAATTTCATTGTTCGCGTATTATTTGTATTGCGGTTTACACGTGTTTGCATTTTATTTGCATGTAGTGAATAAAGGGTTAGCTGGAAATTCCAGCCACCCACTTCACCTCACCCCTCCCCCAAAACAGAATCATAATCTTAATTTATCCTGTGGAAATCCGAAGAGCTATGAAGCTCTTTTCCACAGATGTCCAGTAGGGGCGGGTCAGAAAGTCACATCAACAAACAGTACAAAACACGATAGGAAAATAAATCACAAAATATGAGTTAAAAATGCGTGAATACATCAATTCGGCACAATACAGGGGTCAACACAATAAAATATAATTTAATTTTTTTTTAAATAGTTGGCGCAGCGGCCTCTCGTTTCTGCGGGGATTCAAATGAGCCCGCTGCAACGCACGTATCCGAATCGCGGCAAATAAACCGTGGGATCGTGCCAGCCCTAGTTGGCGCTCGTCATGAGGTTCAGATTAAATATCATAGAGTGGCAGGTGGTAGCCTGGCTTGACCACTTGAATGTGACATTGTAGCTGTTGCTCTGCACCTACAACAGCAGCAGCAACAGCAGCAACAGCCGTACGAAAGAAAGAATAAAAGGGGCGTAGCTCCAGTCGCGTCTTGGTCAGCAGCCCGGAAAATATTTGAGCACGGGGCACACCGCATCCGGTGGAGCCCTGACGATGCCGATGTAAATAATCCTGATTTGTGTCTCGTTCCGTGGCGGAGCAGCAGCAGCAGGAGGAGGAGGAGCAGAAGAGAGGACCCGGTCCTCTCGCGCCGTCTGCCGGGGTCAGGAGGTCATCTGCCATGGCCACGCGGGGCGCCCTCTCGGGCCAGCAGCAGGTGAGAGCTCGGCTCTCTCGCTCGCCACGAACCGACGCCGGAACGTGGTCCACCTCCTCCTCCGCCGGTTAGCCGGCGCCCGCGTGCATGCGCGGCTATCCCGTTCGTCCGATCCACTGCTGGATAGGTGGCAGCCCCACGTGCCGGGCGGCTCTTGGCGGTCGCTTGGCCGTTCTTCACCGCTTTGGCCTTCAGCGCGGGCCAGCTGAGGGCCGGGAGTGGTTGAAGCACAGTGGGTTTCAACCCCCGCCCCCCCTCCCCCACCTGCCCCCCTCCCCCCCTCGCCCCCTCCCGCCCTCACGAGTGGGGTCTTTCAGGCGGCGCAGGCTTGCGGCGTGGATACCGTGCAGGATAACTTTTCGATTGTGCACGGGGAACGACGAAACACACGTGGCGCACAACATGGAACACCACGCGCCTTACTTAGCATTCCGTACGTTACATCTCACCCTTTCAAAACTCTTCTTTGGCAACGGCGTGCGTGGCCCTGAATGGAACGCGGGTCCATGTGCGTTCACAGCTTCATATTTTGTGCCTTTGTAACCGTGCTCCTCAGCTGCCGTGACAAATATATTTACTTCGAATAACGTGCAGCTAGGCACCAGGCGCCTGCTCGTCATCTCAAGTGTCCTCCCGGAGCTTGTGACCGTCGTTCTCAATACATATTTTATTGCTGCCGCGTTGTCGCGACGCGGAACGACACCTTGCGAGCGACGTCGCGAGATCTCGCGATGCCGGGCAAGGTTCATGAGCCTGGCCAGCGCTTGGGAGCGCACGCAACCGGGTTCAGATATCGGCCACTTGTTGTCCGTCGTGAGCTCACCACTCCTGAGACCTAGAGATCCCACGTCTGTTTTGCCTTCAACAGACTGTTGGGGCAAGTGCTGTTAGCGAGGCACCTACTTCGCGTGCACGCACACACGCACGCGCGCGCTCCGATTGCACTCACGATCTGACACGCATCATAACAATAACGCAGACGCGATGTGCAGGGCGCGCATCTATCGTCAAGTCGGATGTTACGATTCCATCGGGGATGTCTCGGAGACGGGAAAGGAAAAAAACAAATGGTGTGCGTGGCTAGGAGATGTTAACTACCTCGCCTGGTGTACAGGAGGTCGTGGGTTCGATCCCGACCCTGACGCCTGCTGTATATTTGGAGTTTGCGTCTCTCTCTCTCTCTCATCATCATCACGGTGGCTAGGAGATGTCAACTACCTCGCCTGGTGTACAGGAGGTCGTGGGTTCGATCCCGACCCTGACGCCTGTTGTATATTTGGATTTTGCGTCTCCCTCTCTCTCTCTCTCATCATCATCACGGTGGCTAGGAGATGTCAACTACCTCGCCTGGTGTACAGGAGGTCGTGGGTTCGATCCCGACCCTGATGACGCCTGCTGCTGTATATTTGAGTTTTGCATTTTTTTTCTCTCTCCCCGTGGTCACGTGGCTTTTTCTCCGGCTTGTCCCCTCCACGTTTAGAATCAACATGCGGTTTGCACTTTGTCTGCCACACATTTCCACGTGATAAGCCATCTTCGTTGGGCCATCATTTGTGATCGTCAGGGCGCTTCTGAAAAATATCTGCGTAGCTCGGTGAGCCTTAGGGGCCGTCCATAAATGACGTCACGCGATTTTGGACGATTTTTGTCCCCCCCCCCCCCCCCTCGTCACACGGCGTCACAAAAAGTCAGACCCCCCCCCCCTCAAATATGACGTCACAAAGCTCTACCCCCCCCCCAAAAATATATATATATAAAACATGCTTCAAATCGCTTTAAACTATTGTCATTGTAGTGCGTATTTAATGTGGCGCTGCACTCTGATGTTGTAGGAGACAACATTTATTAAAAAGTCTATTTAATTAAGTAGAACGTGTTGTCTATATTTATTTAAAGTTGCGCATTTTGATGTGACGAAGCCTCGTCTTTAAACGGCGCGTCCGTGCGAGGCGCGGTGTGCAAACATCGCGACGGGGGAGACAAAGGCGGCCGGGCGTGGACGCTGCGTGCGTGCAGCTACACAGCAACCGCGGGGAGCGGCACAGCGCTACGGACTCGGCGGCCCGAGTTCGATTCCCGCTCACGGCTCCCCCACCGACCACAACGCGAGTGGCGAATGTCTGAACCGGTCCCCCAGGTCGAGTACATGGGTGTACGGTGCGTCGTAATCGCCGCCGCTCGGGAGACAAAGGCGGCCCTGGGTGGAGCTGGCCACCCACCCCTTAGTGCGCTGCCGTGCCGGCCTCTACAGCTGCTACTCGCTCACGCCACTTGCCCCAACACTCTGTTGAGGCTATACGCGGGGGGGGGGGGGGGGGGGGTGGCGGCTTTGTCTTTGCTGTAGCGAGGGTGTTTGCTATAACGCGCAAAAAGGGGTTTTACTCTTGTTCCGTCCGTGTTCGAGCCCGACTTGTCTTCATCACGGGCCGTCATCAATCCACTGCTGGATGAAGGCCTCCCCGAGCCTCCGCCACGATCCCGCGATGTAACCCACGGCCCACCCGTCAGGGCGCCGCAGAATAATACTGCGCTCTGTCTATATGTACACATCTGTGTGTATATATATACATCTGTGTACACACATATATATATACATCTGTATAAGATAGAAGACTCGTGAAGAGTCGCATTGACTGTGGGCGCGCTGCGGTCGAGTGGCCCCTGCCGCTCTCCAATTCGTTTTACCGGGGTGGTGGGGGCGGTTGTTTCCCCCGCGACGATGTACGACGTTTCGCTGCGCGCGCCGTAGCAAGCGCGCGCGTTTTTCATTTCCCACGGGGGGTGGGGGGTGGCGGGAGGACTGCCTCCACGCTGCCGTGGTGGCAACAGTAGCGGGCGGGGGGAGGGTGGAGGGGGGTGAGGGAGAATGGCAGAGACTCACTCGGCAAGATTTTGATGCGGGCAAAGTCCACGTGCTCACGTTAGCGACCACAAATATTTTGAGAAAGAAAAAAACAGAAAGTCATTTCCATCTTCAAGGCAAGGTGGGTGGGGACCTCACGTGGAGTTTTGTGGAGTAGGAGTGGTCCCAGGCATTGTTGTTTTCTTATGGAGACAAAGGCGGCCGGGCGTGGTGCTGGCCACCCACCCCGTACCGGCCTTCATAGGTGCTGCTACGGCTGACCCACAGTCTGTTAGAGGCGACACGGGAGTGATCTTCGTCTTCATTATTTATTTTATCAATCTAAACGGAGGGGTAGGGGGGTGGTGGTGGTGGTGGAGACATCGCTGCAAAAGAACTCGCCGAGCGGGTTTTAGTAGACCCCGCAAATGCCACCTCCCCCGAGTCCTGAGCGCCACCTAAGTCACTCGTCAGCCAGGTTCACGCGCAGCCACTTCCACGGCGCTCACCGCTCTCCACCCTCACCCAGCGAAAGGCTCTCCCAACGCGCCCCCCCCCCCCCCCCCCCGCGACTCTCTTCGGAGAGTCCCCCCAGACTCGCACACCCCGGTGAGTCGCGAACTCTCCGCCGACGCCGCTCGCTAAAGGAGGAGGGGCCGCCCGACCTCCTTCCCCCCCACCACCACCACCTCTGCTCGTCGCGCCGCTCATAACGAGGTACGAGCGATCGCTGCCAACGAGGCCGGGTCTCTGTGTCGGTGGGTGCGGGCAGTGGGAACACCATCGGTGCCATGTACGCACGGACACCAAACCGCTTGCAAAATCGCGGAAGACCCAGTCTGTGAGCGTGAGTGTGCGTGCGTGCGTGTGTGCGTGAGTGTGTGTGCGTGAGTGTGAGTGAACGTGAGTGAGTGTAAGTGTGTGTGCGTGAGTGTAAGCGTGTGTGCGTGAGTGAACGTGAGTGAGTGTGAGTAAGTGTGTGTGCGTGAGTGTGTGTGCGTGCGTGTGTGTGCGTGCGTGTGTGCGTGAGTGAGTGTGAGTAAGCGTGTGTGCGTGAGTGAGTGAGCGAGCGTGCGTGAGTGTGAGTGAGTGTGCGTGAGTGTGTGTGAGTGTACGTGAGTGAGCGAGCATGCGTGAGTGTGAGCGTGAGTGTGAGTAAGCGTGTGTGCGATGTGTGAGTAAGCGTGAGTGAGCGTGAGTGAGCGTGAGTGTGCGTGAGTGTGAGTAAGCGTGAGTGTGCGTGAGTGAGCGAGCGAGCGTGCGTGAGTGTGTGTGTGTGCGGGTTGCGGTAGTGTAGCGGGTAGAGCGCTGCGCTACGAACCCGGCCGCCCGGGTTATATTGCCGCTCACGGCCAACGCCGGTGAGTGACGATTATCTGAACCGGCCATGAGCTTCCGCAAGATTGACTCGGCTTCAAATGAGTACCTGGTGTGGTCTGTAGACATCGCCACTGGGGAGACAAAGGCGTCCGGGCGTGGTGCTGGCGACCCACCTCCTCGTGTGTTGTGCCTGGCTTCATAGGCGCTCGCCCACAGCACTTGCCTCAAAAGTCTGTTAAGGCTACACGGGGGAATCTTTGTCTTTGTGTGAGCTGCAAATGATAAAAGTTCTTATTGTTGCTGCTTTGCTTGATGACACGGTGAAGCCTTAGCGAGTCTCGTGACTATCCAAGAAGGTTCCTGCCACGTTCACGACAACACAAAGTTGCAGTGATGATGCACGTTTGTGTTTTGTAGCTTGTGGGATAAATCTCGCGCGATGGCAGGGGGCCGCGATCTCGAATTAAAGTGGTCCGCCAGCGGCGAGACGGCCCGCCAACAGCGCCGGGGAGGCTTTCATTCGCTTCTAATCCTGCTTTACTCGGCCGATCATCTCTCCCGGGTCGATAAAGCGAGTACCCACTTTTCTTGGTTAGGCCTGACTAGCGTTTGGACTCGCAGGATAATGCGGGGGGGGGGGGGGTGGGGGGGTGGAGGGCGCTACGGGGGACAGTGCAACAAAAATAATATTGTTGTATCACACTTCATCGCGCCTGCTGTCCACCACACTGCCCACCTTCGCCACCCCCCCCCCCCCCCCCCCGTTACTTTTGCAAATGACCTCTCCCAAGTTCTCACCTGGTTGAATCGACGAAATAAGCTTGAAAGAGCGACTTGA